AAGTCAAACGTCAGGCTTCTCACAGGAATACTAACGGGACACTGGACCATTGGCCACATGGCCGCCAGTTTCGGAGCCCCGCATAATGATTTCTGTAGAAGCTGCAGGGATGAGGAGTTAGAATCCGTCCAGCACTTCCTTTGCGAGTGTCCAGCACTTCGAGGAAAACGCCTCAAGTTTCTTGGGGACCACTTCTTCGATAATCTGGATATCTTGGGGAAAGCTCCTCTGGAAGGACTGCTAGGATTCGCCAGAAAATCAAAATGGTTCGAAGACATGTAGGGATAGGCTTGGGGTAACCCCCATGGGCATCACAATGGGCCTCTGCGGCCTCCGAGTGAACTCTTTTTCAGAGCTGCCCGTTTAACCTAACCTAACCTAACTTTCCCGTGATAAATGGTAGATCTAATTCATATGGATCCGAAATTTTGAATTTCAAAATCTAATTCCAGATTCGTAGTCAGCGACTAAAGAACCGCCGACTGTAAAGTTTCAAGCGAATCTAAGTGATTTTAATTTTTTTGCCACCATCCTGAGTCCGCCGTTTAAAATTTTGTAATTCGGACTTCAAATTCGGAAACAGTGACCCCAAAACCCCTCTAGTAACAAGTTTCAAGTGAATACAAGGAAGTTTTAAAAATACGTCCGCCATATTGGATCCGCCATTTTGAAATTTGAAAATCGGACTTTAGATTCGTAATCAGCGATCTCAAAAACTTTAAAATATGTCATAATCCAACATTTTTGCATCAGTTTTGTAAAGAAATTAAATAAATTCAACAATTTTTATTGAGCTTGAGGCCGTTTTTAATGAAAAACTTATTGTAGAAAAGCAACAATAATTTGAAAAAATAGTAGAAGTGATAGCTATTTCGGAAATCACCACATTTCCTCATCAGACTTCTTTCAGTAGGATTCGAACCGACGATCCCACTGACTCAGCCAGTTGCCTACGCACTCTGCTAAGTTCGCCTTGTGAATTATTGTTGCTTTTTCCCACTTTTTATTTGTTAAGCCAACACAATCAAGCGCAGCTATTCCGCTGCAATTCACACTTGATCATGTGGTTGATGGTTTTGTTGGTTTTTGTTAATAATTATATTTTTAGAATGCCTAACTTCTAGGTGTGCTCGTCCCTAAGTTATTTGCTTTTTGTTATTTTATGGCCTTATAACAATTATATTCAACAGATTCCACATAAACTTCCATAAAATAACAAAACACGAAATTAATAAATATATGTGACCTGGTCTACGAAAAGGGAGCTTACGTGCGAAAACTAGTTTTCTGTGAAAAAGCTGTTAAAAGTAAGCAACTCGTTTCGTCAGTTTCTCATTATCTCGTTAATTGTTCTCCGCGCCGGACGTCCAGTAAGTGTTGTTGTTGGTCCAGTAAGTGTTGTTGTTGGTCGGAATATTATTATAGTTCATCGTGTAAGTTGCTAGTGTGGAACATTTAAAAAAGTAACACTGAAGAAGTGACGTTTTTGTACTTCTAAGCAAGTTAGGATTTTCTGCTTTTCACCACGTGAAAAAGCATCTCATCTTCCATCCGAATCAACCAAAAAGTGAAAATTGATTTTTTGACACCTAAGCCCCCTTTCCGTAGACCAGGTCACATATTTGCTTATTTGCGAATTCAGCGTCTTTTACCTACCACAGTAATGACGCCATTTTGTATTTTAGGCACTTTGCAATCGAAAGGGTATAAGATTACGAGCATTTTGACTTACTATATATTTTCTTTAGTTGCTTAGAATTTTGGAAAGAGCTCTGGGCCGGTTGATGGGAATCTAAAAAAACATGCACACTTTCAAAAAAGTCTAATTTTTTAATTTGTGAGCACACCTATGTTTTATATATGATTCTATTCGTAATCTTTTAATAGATCGATAAACATAAGTGTAATTCATTTTCATCAAGTGCTTTAAAAGTTAGACGAGGTAAAAACCTTTAGATCGCTGAAATAGAAAACAAAAGAATAAGCTGGGTTCAAATTACGCTGTGCAAATTGTAAACTTGAGCAGAGGTTTTGAAAGTTGAACTGACTTAAGTGGGACGTTCTAAATTCCATGGCATCCCTCGTTTTACCTGATTGGCTCCGTTTCTCGAGATAACGGTACTTTAAAATTTGATTAAATTTTAACTTTTCTATAAATAACTGCCTCAGTTATTTTACTAAAATTTTACTCATGACTATTTTTTAATAATTCCTTAACTAATTCTGAAAATCATCGAAATAGGCTCACTTTAAAAAATATCTTCTATACAACAAATTATTAGGATATGTGGTTTAGCCCTAACTTCTTCATAAAGACAAAGTTAACAGTGCTCTTGATGAATAAAAATAGTAATAAATTTCTTACCTGCAACGTCTCTTAACAGCTAGTTGTATGCGAGCTACATGTTATAGAGAAGCGTTTTCGATGATAAAATCATAGTTGAGGTAATATTAAAAAACGGTGATGTGCAACATTTTAGTAAAGTAGCTTCAAAACTGAGGGAGTTATTTATAAAATAGTTAAAATTTAAGCAAAGTTTCAAGTACCGCTTTCTCGAACAAGTAATTTTTAGCAAAAAAACCCGACTTCGACTCTCATATAAAAAAAAAATATATATATATATATATATCTCAGGATCCACTGATCGGATCTTAACCACATTAGTATGGGGCCCCCTCTGAGACACTACCTTTCCGATGCAAAAAGAATTATCGAAATCGGTTGACGTTATGCGGTAACATTCATAAAAATATATAAATAAAAAAAAAAAAAAAATATTCCGACGAACTGATAACCTCCTTCTTTTTTGGAAGTCGGTTAAAAATAGAGCAAATTTGGGAAAACTGGCTTCAATTAGGTAGGAGCAACTATCAAAATCTTTGCCTAAATAAAGTTGATTTGATACCTCGCTCGAAATCTTCTCACTACAAGAATAATCCTCATTAAAAGTAGCAAATAAGGGGTTTTACACACTTGTAGTAATTTTTGTTTTAAAACATTTTACAGGTATATTTTGTGTTATAAGGACTAGTATTTGCAAAAATATTTAGATCGGTTTGACGTATTTTCGAAGTGTGCCTTAAATTAAGATGTTTTTGGAATAAAAATTACGCTCAAGATCGTATAATATTTTTTCTTTAAAAGTTGGTTTATTTTGAAAGCACACCTCTTGCTAAAGGTGTTCTTACAGGATATGTATTTGCATGTGTACATGCCACTTTTTACTTATGGAATTGCCAAGATGTCGTGTAAAGGCAAATTAGATGTTAGTCTGTTCCAATAGCAGTCCGGTTTACAGGATTTAGTCAGAACTTACAGGAAGTCGTTTCTATTGACATAAAACCTGTAAGTGGGAACACATTTGAGAGAGTAACTGAGCGACTGTTCCTAGTCAGAAGTTACAGGATTTAGTCCGGAGTTTTTTTTCTGTAAGTTCATTAATAGTCTGTTCCTTTGAACTTCGGACTAAAACCTGTGGAACTGTCAAACTACAACTTTACGCTCTCAAAAGAGAGTAAAAGGAGAACAGATGCAGAAGTGCGTAGGAACGCAAAAAGCACTATTTCCTGTAAAAACGTCAGTCGGTTTGTTTACATGTCATTTGTACAACACTGATTTAGCTGAAATATCACTAAATAATTATTAAAATCTATACATATTCAAACATTTCGTTGTTTAATTCCATTTTTTTTACAAATATAAGGTACTTTGCTTTCACCGCTGTTTGTTTTTGCTTGCACATACAAATCAGCTGATCGTTTGAAACTTTTCATGAACTTACAGGAAAGAAAACTCCGGACTAAATCCTGTAACTTCTGACTAGGAACAGTTGCTCAGTTACTCTCTAAAATGTGTTCCCACTTACAGGTTTTATGTCAATACGAACGACTTCCTGTAAGTTCTGACTAAATCCTGTAAACTGGACTGCTATTGGAACAGACTAATAGAATCATGTGAATTTAGGTTATTTCGTTTTCAAAGAACGTACTTTTAAATAGTTAAATAAAGACTGTGAATTTGACAGACAAACGCAATTACATATGTATTGAAAAAGTCACATTTAAAGATGCAAATACATATCGTCTAAGAACTCCTTAAAGAAAATTTTACAGAAACTGATATTCAAAATTTTAAATTAAATGCTATAACCCGCATCCATCGGTTGTATCAAATTTTGTTGCAAATTTCGGAAACATATTAAAATATTAAAAAAAAAAAGTTAACGTTTTGAATTGTTTTTTTTTGCGACAAATGCGTATAGATCTTTCAAGCATTTTTTTATTATCAGAAAATTAATAAACAAACATTGGTCATTAATAAAAAATGAAAGAAAAGCAGCACATGTATCAAACTGATGCACAACGTACTTTGTGTTCCAAAAAATTTCCGATGGATGCTGGTTAAAATTTTAATCTTAAAATTTACCAAGTTTTAACTCGTCAATTCTTAGTGTCACCTGTAGGTGACACCTCTTTAAAACTTTTTGTTGTTTGTTACCGAGCAGCGCAACACAAATACCACAGCATCACAACACAATGTTTTTCTTATCCTTTCTGTTGGTTGATTCAATTATTTCTGATAGTTTTAGGATCGATTCGCGACCTACCTGTAACCCTTCCGGTTGGAAACCGATGTATTAGTTCTTAAGTTTTCATCTTTTTGAATATTTTCCGCTTAGGAACCATGGTGCGCCGCACATTTGGCATTCCAAGCTGCTGAGGTTTAGAAATAAAAGAGACTGATGCTTTGTATTTTGACGTTTTGGAAAGCAGCCTATATTTAAAAACTGGAGCCCAGCTTTTCAAAGGCATAGTCGAAAATTGTCGCCCCGGTTTTCGTAATCACACCCTATTTTCCACTAGAGAATTGATGCAAACTTATTTTTAAAACGTAACCTATCCGAAATTGGGGTGGGAGCGAAAAAATACTTTAGCCCATTCGGATACTCCAATAAAAATAGATAGAAAATGTTACGGTCCCCGAAAAAAAGACAATGGGCTATTATACGTAATCCTTCACAAATTTTCTTTATTTTTGAAAAAATGAAGTACCATTACACGGCTTAGAAGAAAATAATATAGGGCTCGTACTTTTATATTTATACATATCTACATATATGCGTGTAGATATATGTATTGATAAATGCCGGTAAACGAAGTTATATAGAAAATACGGACTAAAAACTATGTGAAAAATCTAAAACGGGTATGTATACATAAATCGAATTTGAAGATAATAAAAAGCTTACAAGTATGTGTTAAAGAAATTAATCCTTAGCCGGTACCTCAATAACTCGTGGCTTATCAATGATGCGAGCAGTTTTATTACCCTTCTCAACTATACCAATAATCCAAGCTTGGTACCCTTCTTGCTTCTCGATGTCCTTGCAATAAGCAGCTGCTTGTTCTCGCGGCAAGCATATAAGAAGACCTCCAGAAGTTTCTGCCGAGTGACCTTGCAACAACTGGAACATATTTCCACATGCCTTTGCCACTGCAGCCATCTTTGCAATTACAGGAAGGTTATGAATGACAAATGAAACATCTTTCTTTTGATGCGAAGCAAGAGTTTGTGCATGACCTAGCAATCCAAAGCCAGTTATGTCTGTCGAACCATGTGCGTTATATTTGTGCATGAGCCTAGCTGCGGTGCGGTTAAGGCGAGCCATTGAATTCATTGCGCGATGGTAGGCCTTGCGAACATCCTCTTCAGAAACTACAAGTTTAATGCGATTCCACCGCTCGGGTTGATCTAACCATTGATGAGCATTCACAGCAACCTGCGTACCAAGCGGCTTGGTGAGTACCAAAACATCACCCACTACTGCGTTGTCGGGAACAATGTACTCATTAGGTTGGCAAATTGTTGAAGCTACACCACCAATCGTGCACCATGGATTTACTACACTTTGGCCACCAGTTACGGTTGTACCTGCTTCCAAAGCAGAGTCTTTAAAACCCCGCATAATCAATGGAACAACCACATCTCGTTCCTTTTCCGTCATTTTAGTACTGACAGCAAGCAACATCAACATATTATCGCAATCGGTTACTCCCATAGCATACAAGTCACTTAAAACATTGGCACAAGCGATTTTCCCCATCATATACGGATCATCTACAATAGGGTAGAAAAAGTCAGTGGTCTGTACCAAACAGAGACCACCGTGTCGTAGCGGTATAACAGAGCAATCCAAACCAATACCAATGCGTGGTATTGCCATATTCAAGAACTGGGCATCCTGATCCGAAGCACTAGAGTAATCCTGTTGCAATGCCGCAACCAATTTGCCAAGAACCTCTTGGGGCACTTTACATCCACGACCCTTTAGGTCAGCAAATCTTGTCAATCGAAAGGATGGTTCCAAGTCATGAGCAGTAGGATCAAAAGGCCGACGAAGCTCGGCCCCACTACCACCGCCTTGCAACTCCAGATGGGAAGAATTCAAAGCCTCTACTTGGTAGCTCATTGTATTCGCTTTTAGTGACCACTAACTACTTAGAATCGATTGCTCTGGAATTCAAACATTCACTGGGGAATCAATACGCGATTTGATAGAAAGGTTAAAAATTAATGGTTGCCTTTTAGCGCTCGCTTTGACATATAACTCGCATTCTCCCTCGACACCCACACAATCGTCGAAGGTTGTGCACATACACAAAATTTCAGTCTGTAGCTGCGCTGGTGTTGGTATTTTTTGCTGCTATTGGCTGAACAAGCCATGGCGGCATGAATCGGGCGAAGTCAGTATTTCTCCCGGCGGTCATAGTAGGCGATTGAGTTCTTTCAGGCGGTGTTCATTGCATTTATTCCAATGCGGAGCTGTCAATTTCTGTTTTTTCTAAATGCTGCCATCCCACGATACACAGTGTTGCCAACTATTGATTTTCAAAAAGCACCAAAAACTTGGAAAAAAGGCGTTTAACCAAACTAAAAGCACCAAATTTTTTTTAATCAAAGGGCCTGTGCCAATCGGCAACTTTTTTCTCCGTGGTGAGACGGGGTAGAAAAATTTGCTATGGTGTACAAATAAATTGAATTTTGCTGTGCCAAATGCAAAGTAAAATTTTGACAGTTGAAAAACCAAACAAACGCTCGTGCGAAAGCTTTATATTTGTGTGTTGCTGAAATTCTTAAAATTTATATTTACTTTATAATTTGCAAGTAACGTACGCTTTTTTATGCTGTTTCAGCTTTCATTTTCATGTTCACTCCTTATTACCGCCAAGCAATATTATGTGTATACATGGTTATAAGCTGTCAAAATTTTACCTAGCCCCATGAGCTAGGTAAAATTCTGACGTTCTTATTCACCACGAGAAATGTCAGATTTTTACTTTGATCCGTCAAAATTTTCTTTTTTCTATCATTTGGCACAGGCCCAAAGGATGCTTTTTTCATAACAGTTTGTATTTAATAAAAGCAAAAAATTAACAATATTTACATGAATACATACATAAATCAATACACAAAACGTTTTCGCTCATAACGATTGTATAGCCTCTACACATGCTATGATAACTCATGCTTACGACGTAATACCGAAGTACTATTAAAACTACTATACCTCGAAAAAAAAAATCGAATCGCAACACACGAAAATAATGCCCTAAGTAGAAATGAGCAAAAAATTTGATATTTTCATTATATAACCTCAAATATCGCTAAAACCTGTGTTGTTGGCAATCTGGGGGTAGGATATCTAAAAACTCTAGTACTAGAGCAATTGTTCGGGCAGATTTGGATTCAGCACCAAGAAACGATGTGTTTTACTCAGGTGGTAAAAAAATTAAATTTGTACAAACAATTAGAAAAGAAAAAAAGAAATACTTAACTTACCTGCGTACTACGATTTTCAACACGACTTGAATTCTACAAGGTGGGTTTGCAACTTTAGCTTTTTATCAATCATGGTTGTATTTTAGTGCATTTAAATTTGTATATTCTTGTAAATCCCGCATCTTCATGAGACACTGCAGCTTATAACATTTCAAATTAGTTCAGATTTTAACTATCTCGGAGTAATATTAGGTCAAAAAAATGCACTGAAAAAGGCACTAGGCAATAAGTAATTTTTTTTTGGCGTTTTAATTTTCAAAAAGCACTAAATCTAGTGCTTAAAGCACAAAGTTGGCAACTATGATGATACATTTTTACAATTTTATTAGGTCCATTTATTAACTGTTCCAGTAAGTACTTGCAAACAGAGCGTACCAGAAAAATAGAGGGGGTCTTCATCAAAAGTGATAAACTCTTGATAAACTTTATAAAGTGATAGATTTATCATTTTGATAAATGACCTGTCAAACTTTGTATGGAAATATATTTTACCTAAGTTTATCACTTTATCAAACGACTTTAGTAGATAAAGGCTCCGTTATGCATACTTGCCATTGCTTGAGAGTTGTCAGATAAAGCCTGATATACAGTTCAATGCGAGCGCGAGCGTGAGCTTTTATTTTGACCAATATCTTCGTTACTACTCAACTTTTTGCTATAGTTGAGACATGAAAATATAGAGAATCAAAATATCTTTCAGAATTATAGAATAAAAACTAATTTAAAATGCATAATATGCCTCTTTTTCGAGTTCACACTCAACTGAGTGCGTACGCAAAGCGTCACATTCGAACCACAAGTTTTGAGAGATGTGTGTCCATAAGAATACAAATTCTTTGCCTTTGCGAACGTTCACGCTCACGCTCGCATTGTACTGTATATCAAGCTTAATGAATCTGTGAAATGAGCTTCGCGTGTAAGCGGTGACACAACGCACAGCATTACATACCTAGAAGTCTGTTGGTTTTTGATTTTAACGTAATAAAATTATAGTTTAAAAAACTAAAACCCCCCTATTATAATTGCCATTCGTCAGGTATGTAACTTGAGAATAGAAATCGCTGCATCTTTTAGGCAGAGAACGTATATTTATAGACAGAGTTGGGCATTATTCGAATAAATTGTTATTTAGATAGTTATTCGAATAAAATTTTATCCGTAATATAATTATTTGCAGATAACTTATTCACGAATAAATTATTCGTGAATAAATTGCTTGCAAATAATTTATTCGTTATTTCAAATAATGAATAAAAACTCATTTTTAACACACCTTTACTTTTATTTCTATTGTCAAGGATTGTGAGTTAGCTGAATTTTGTTTACTATTTTATCAAGAATACTAGCCCGGTTCCGTGCGCAGAAGTGGAAAACTTTTGACTGCCATTCACCTGGGTGTGGCCAGAAGCGATTCTTGTGCGTACGGTTCAAATCGCAGCTCACAACGTCCGGATATTTATATCCACGTATCCTCTGGGTAGCAACCAAACACCCGTTTGGGAGCGAGCTAAAGTGAGAAGGCGTAAAACTTCGCGTGCGCTGGGTTTGGGTCCCGCCACGTTAAAACCCCGCCCAATGAAAAATTCCAACAAGCCTCGGATGAGACCCCCTTTTTCTGATGACGACCACGGCAAACGTATAAAGGACTATGATTTAAGGGTATGCACCTGGAATATCCGGACCCTTAATGGGGAAGGTGCCTCTGCCCGGCTGGTTGATGTCCTCGGGAAGACAAAGGCTGACATCACCGCCATCCAAGAAATGCGATGGACGGGGCAAGGTAAAGTAAGCGTGAAGCCTTGCGACGTCTACTACAGTTGCCACGTAAAGGAGCGCAAATTCGGTGTTGGATTCGTGGTAGGAGAGAGACTCCGTCGCCGAGTACTGGCGTTCACCCCGGTGGACGAACGTCTAGCCACAATCCGCATCAAAGCTAGATTCTTCAACATCTCGCTCATCTGCGCCCATGCCCCGACGGAAGAGAAGGATGAGGCGTCCAAGGATCTCTTCTATGAGCGCTTGGAACGTACATATGAGCGCTGCCCCCGACACGATGTCAAAGCCGTGCTTGGCGATTTTAATGCCAAGGTGGGCAAGGAAGGGATCTTTGGCGCCACTGTCGGAAAATTCAGCCTCCACGACGAAACGTCCGATAACGGACTGAGGCTGATCGACTTCGCCGGGGCCCGAAATATGGTAATATGTAGTACTAGGTTCCAGCATAAGAACATCCACCAAGCTACATGGCTGTCTCCAGATCGAAAAACGAGAAACCAAATCGATCATGTTGTGATAGACGGAAGGCATGCTTCAAGCGTTTTGGACGTACGTACACTCCGAGGGCCAAACATCGACTCGGACCACTATCTTGTTGTAGCCAAGATACGCACCCGCCTCTGTGCAGCAAAAAATGTGCGCCCAACAATGCAAGGAAAGCTTAACGTCGAAAAGCTGCAATCACAACAGACGGCCAATTTATTCGCCACTCGACTCACACACCTGCTCTCTGAGAGCACTCTTCAACAATCCGACGTACGCGAGCAGTGGAACCACATTTCCCGATCATTAAGTACCGCCGCCGAAGAAGTAGTTGGATTTCAGCGAGCCCGAAAGAACAACTGGTACGATGAGGAATGTCAAGAAGCCGCAGAGAAAAAAGATGCCGCCTACAGGGCCACGCTGCGATCGGGCGCAACGCGAGCCATGTGGGACCGTTATAGGGAACTGAAGAAGGAAGCGAGACGTATTTGCCGTAATAAGAAGAGAGAGGCCGAAATACGTGAGTGCGAAGAGCTTGAGATGCTGGCCGACAGGAAGAACGCCCGAAAATTCTACCAGAGGGTTAGGCGACTTACGGAAGGTTTCAAGACCGGGGCGAACTCCTGTAAGAACAACAATGGCGACCTAGTGACCGATGTCCAGAATATACTTAAATTGTGGAGGGAACACTTTTATAACCTACTGAATGGTAGCAGCGCTGAAAGTAGTGAGGAAGACGAACCCGAGTCCCCAGTCGATGATGATGGAGTAGCTGTCCCACCGCCTGACTATGACGAGGTACGAATAGCGATTACGCGGCTGAAAAACAACAAAGCTGCTGGAGCTGACGGCCTGCCAGCCGAGCTATTCAAGTACGGCGGCGAGGAGCTGATGAGATGCATGCATCAGCTCGTATGCAGAATATGGTCAGATGAACGCATGCCCGACGACTGGAATTTAAGTGTGCTCTGCCCAATCCACAAGAAGGGCGACCCCACCACACGCGCCAACTACCGCGGAATTAGCCTTCTAAGCATAGGTTACAAGGTCTTATCGAGCGTATTGTGCGAAAGACTGAAGCCCACCGTCAACGAGCTGATTGGACCTTATCAGTGTGGCTTTAGGCCTGGAAAATCCACCATAGATCAGGTATTCACAATACGCCAAATCTTGGAAAAGACCCGCGAGAATAGGATCGACACACACCATCTATTTGTCGATTTCAAAGCCGCTTTCGACAGCACGAAGAGAAGTTGCCTTTATGCCGCGATGTCTGAATTTGGTATCCCCGCGAAACTAATACGGCTGTGTAAAATGACGTTGAGCAATACCACCAGCTCCGTCAGAATAGGGAAGGACCTCTCCGAGCCGTTTGATACCAAACGAGGTTTCAGACAAGGGGACTCCCTTTCGTGTGATTTCTTTAATCTTATGATGGAGAAGATAATAAGAGCCGCAGAACTGAACCGCTCAGGCACAATACTTTATAAGAGCGTACAATTGCTGGCGTATGCCGACGACATCGATATTATCGGTAAAAACAAGGGCTACGTCTGTTCTGCCTTCTCGGGATTGGATAGAGAAGCAAAGCGAATGGGTCTGGTGGTGAACGAGGACAAAACGAAGTATCTCCTGTCAGCACACA